TTATCCTGCCCCAGGGATGAGGCTCCACTTCCACAGCGATCGGTTGTCTTTTCTCTTGAGCTTCCTACCGGTGGCTTTGACACAGAGGTTACAGTGAAGACAGGTGTTTCGGAGATCTGTGTCCTGATGCTGGTGAAATGCATGCTTCATATTTCAGGTGGTTATTTTTCTGTGTGTGTGTTCTTTCCCCCTCAACAGCCCTTGATATGGAGTTTACTGGCTTGTATTCAACTTCCCCACAAAGTAACCAGCCCAGGTAAAGCTGTTGGACTTGATGTGTGAGGGGCACTTGCTGCTCTAGCTCTGAGAACAACCTGCACGTTGCAAACCTTCTTGTTTCTGCTCCTTTTCCCCCAATTCTGGTTTTGTTCATAGCCTGTTTGATTCCCCTGTGGAGCGGTACCTGAAGGCCAGGCAGAGCATTCAGCGCTTCACTGTTACTCAGCTTGGTAAGTGCTGTTCTGACACAGAAAATAACCTGCGAGATCTTAGTGGTAACACCTTTTGCCAGCTGCCTGCAGGTAGCTCTGGTCTTCATTCACTCATTACAGAGACATTTATTTGCTGTGGTAGGGCTTTTTGGTTGTTGTGTTTTTTTTTTTTTTTCCTGTGATGTTTAATACTATCAACTTTTAAATACTTTAAACAATGTAAAGTCAGGTGGGCTGTACACTTTTTACTGGTCTAAAGTTGTTCATATTTAAGGATTGCGGGTACAAACACAGGGCTTTTAAAACAGAGGATGCAAGCAAGGAATGGGTGACAGCCACTCCTATTCAAAGCTGTGTCATTTATATAGTGTATGAGTAAGGGGACTATCAGAGGAAAATGAAGGCTGGTGTTTCTTATATTCCTGAAATAATAAAAAGTCAACAAAAGAAGGGGCCTGTAGTGGTGGTGGAGGGCTATTGTCAGTTAAAACCAGTTAGAGGTCAAGAAACCAGCTCCCAAACTGTTTAAAATATTGTTCAAAGCCTTAGGCTATGTAAAATCTTAATGTGCTTTTTAAGGATTAATCAGGAAAAAAACAAAAGAACCTAAGTAGTCAACCCATGTTTCCGTCCTCTGTGGTGCCTACCTCCTTCCAAACGTTTTTGTAGTGTAGTTGGACCCGCAGACCTGTGTATGCATAGTTGGAGATTTTCATCACCAAGTCACTTCTCCTCACCCATTGCTCGATCTGTTTGCTATTTAATCAGACCTAACTGCTTTTCCCACTTAGCACTGAAAGCTTGTCCCTGTTCAGCTCTCGGGGAGTAGCCTGGCAATTGCTGTTTAGATTTGCACTGTGGCATTAGTGAATGGAAAACAGGTACTCCGTCAGGGGATCCCCACATCCCTTATCTCATTTTCACAGTATCTGTAGACATCCAGCTAATCATTGCCATTTCAACGGAGGTTTCTCTCTCTTGCAGGGCTGGCAATATTCTCAAATGAGGGTTCAAACAAGTAAGTAAAAAAAGCAGTTTTCTGTTATAATGAAGACAGTGCAGTTGAGATGTTATGCAGAATTCTCTTGGGAGGAGTTATTTCATGTAATTATCTTCTAGAGAGATTTTTCTTTTCATTGTAGGTATGTGGTGCATTCATACAACTTCTTTCTGTTTCCCTCAACGTTGGGAGTTACGGATATCGAATTCACCCTCTCTGCATCTAGCATTCAGTTCCTGTCTCATTATGGCTTTGACTATAATAAGGTACGTAATCTCCCTGCCAGAAATCTGGACTGGAGGAAGTCTGTGCAATTACAGGAGAAAGTAGGATTAATATCCCTAAATGCTACATTTCTGGGGTAAATAGCATCTTGCTAAAGTATGAATGCATCGTGCGGTTCATTATCGACAGGGAGAGTGAGTCCTGGTTTTTTCTGAACTGCCGTAGAGGCAATAATCACATCTTTGTCAGCCTAAGACAGATTTTCCCCACCTCAATCAAAGAAAACCTGTCTCTGGTGAGCTGAGGAGTTACTAAACAGACCCCAGTGGGGGTCTTTACTAGCCATGAAGGTGGACAAGTCTCAGTTTACCTGCATCTTACGTATTGCCACATTTCCCGTAAAATTTAGACTACGTCATCACGTAAGAACACTGTTTAGCAGTTTTGGACAGGAAGCATTGTGGTATCTTGACACTTGGAGTATCTCATTAAAGGGAAGGTAAAAGCAGAGCAAAAAAAAAAAAAATTGATTACAGTTGACAAAAATACTTTCTTTCCTCCATACATAAACATGTTTTCCTTTATGTGAGAATGCATCTTGGATTACCTACAGTTTGTATTTTTGAAGAGGATATTCTGAGAATGAGGAACACCAGCATCTTCCAAGTATACGCCGGTTTTGGACTTGGCTAACCTGCTCTTCTGTGATTTGCTGCAAGAGAGCCCAGAGGAAAGTAACCAACCTGGCCTTCTTTTCCCCCCCTTAGTTCCTCAAAGATGGAATCCCATACATGAATGAGGCACAGGAGAAGATCCTTAGCAAGCATCTCTTAGCGGATAGCTGGAAAGTCAGCAGGTGAGCACTATTCGGAGAAACGGCTCCTCAGTACTGACTGTGTTGACAGCTCACCTTCACTCAGATCACATTTTGTAGAAATATTAAAGCCTGTTGGTGTGAATGCCTCACCGCCAGCTGTTCCAGCATGCTGTGGTCTCTGAAGGGAGTCTGAGATCACAGAATACAATCTGGAGAATTGGGTGAATGTTGAGAAATGATGCTTTTGCATTCCCACAGCAAGGCACAAGGCTCCATCTGTAAAGAGCTTTTTCTCACACTCTGCCTCTTTCCTCCTGATCCTGCTTTAGTGCTCTGGACAGGGATGTGCTGAAGAAAGCTATTGATGAAGTGACCTGTTGGATAGCTGCGGCAGAGGAAGAGGAGACTATGATTCTGCAGGATCTGAGCGGTATGGAACAGGGTGCCTCCCTTAGGCACCTGTGGGCTCTGAGTGGGTTCATTACATCTCCTGAACCTCGGAGGCTGCTACTGTCCTGTTCTGTTAAACTGCTCTGTTGAGAGGGAAAGCACCTGTGCCCATCCTGCCTTTACAACTCTTTGCCCCTGTCTGTGCCTCAGTTCCTGTCAGGCATTCATCTCTGGGCTCTGCTTTTCTGCTCCGTTGGGGTGGTGGGTTTTTCTGTAGTGGAAGTGGATGTCTGCGTGCTTGGAGCCTGCTTTGTGGTAACCGACTTCTATTTTGTGCTTCTTCAGAGCAGCAACTGGAGAATTTGTCATTGCTCTGAATCAGGACAGCTTCTGACTTGTTTTAAATCATGGGTGATCTTGGTTTTGCGTGTTTTCTTCTCCTTGGAGAAGGGAAAGGTGGGCCTGCTTTCAGAGTTTGTTCCCTCTCACGTGGAGCAACAAGGGGCCTCATGGAGACATACATATGCCAGTGGGGATAAACAGGCCACCTACCTCCTGTGTTAGCTATTGGGAGCACTCTAGCAGAGCTAAGGAATTTCTGTGCTGTTCTGGAGGTTGAGGGACAGGGAATTGTAGTAGAGAATAGTTTGTAGGTTTGCGCACAGAAACTAAATCTTAATCCTTGAGGTCAGGGAATAAAATACAGAAAAGGTTAGAAAGGACAGAAATTATTTAAGGCTTTGTCTGTTGATGCCTTTTTGCAGTGTGTGAAATACAGGGGGTGAGGCATGTGCTGTGTTTTGTATCTGCTGCGTCAGCTGTTGTAGATATGATACTGATACTTTAATAGGGTCTGGCAATGGTGAGCACCTGTGACAAGAAAGACATACATTTAAGTAAGCAATAAGACTGATTAAGGTGTCTTTTTGAATGCTGTTCAGAAGAGGACTGGGTTAGTTCCTTATCAGCTGTAAGGGAAAATGCATTGGTACCTCTCATGTGTGCTTGGCTCATGGGTATGTTGCTCTGAAACCTTCCAAAACCACAGTCAGTCTTTTTCGGAGTATAGCCTTCCTCCCTCTTATTTTCAGTTGGTCATTTCCTTTCCTCTGTGTCCTCACAAAAGCTTACTTGCCTGAAATTCTCACTGTGGCCTTTTTTTTGTTTGTTTTGCCCCCTTTCCCCCCCCCTCCCCCCATCATTGTGTATAGTAATGTACCAAGACCATACATTCAGGAGTATTTTCTGTACACTGGGGGAGAAACATCTGGTCAGTCCTTCTGTCTAGAAAAATGTGTTTTCCTAAATAGGCTTGTCTGCACCTCTGAAGTTTTTACTATTTTGTTGTTGTTGTCCCAGGCTATCAGATGTTTGAAGTTCAGCTGGTTCTGAGACAGGCTCTCCAAAATGTTTGGACACAGCCTCTTGGAGACAAGAAGGTGAGATGGAAATGTGGACCTTTTGAAAAGACGGTTTCTATCTAGAGAGATAGGTCTGGCATTCTTGCAGGGATTCTGAAATGTTGCTTGTACTTTTAATGATAGGATCCAGGAGGAGGGGAAGATAATGATAAAGGAATGTTCTGGGAAGTGTTGATTGTGGGATCCCAAGAAAAGAGATCCAGAAAATGGAGTAACTTTGGTTTCTGTTTGTCCTGTAGCCACAAAATATTTCGAGCTGGAAGTGCTTGTCCTTGGGGCACTTCTGGAGGGACCTTCTCTGTGTCTCCAGACTTCGCTAGAATCTCCTTCAGTATCTCCACAAGAATGTAGTTTTCAGCCTTTTTTGTGGTTTTCCTTTGCTGGCTTTTGCCATGTAGTTGCTTTGAGGACTTTTACTCTGTCTGTTGTATGGCTTGCTCTTTTGCTATTTGCTGTTGCTATTTTACATTTGGTGCAATATTTTCTGAATTAAACGTATGGCTGCGGACTCCTCAAAACATGGTATGAGTATGATACTAGTCGGTTGCTTAGAAGTAGACTACAGAAGTCTTTTTTTGCATTAGTACTATTTTGATCTGATAACCAGTGTCAACAGAGTGACAGATTTACTCAGCCTTCTCACCTGAAGCATAGCTTTTGGGGACTCAGTTTGTATGATTGCTGTTCTGGTTTTTGGTTCCACGAATTTACCATGTTGGTGTTAAGCTAAATGGAATTACGTTCATTTGTGCTTCAAAAAACCCCTGTGGTGGGAACCATCCTCTTAACAAGAGAAACATGAATAAGACACCCCTAGAGTAGGTCTCTTGTTACTGGAGCACTGGTCTCTATGTGGAAGAGAAGGGAGACAGTCCTGAGGTCCCAGGGAGTGCACTATTTCTCCATCCTTCACAGCCTAGAAGCTGAACTTGTCCTCAGCATTACTGAACACCAGGAAGCAATGTACATACAACTAGCACGGGAGGCTGAGATACCCAATGACTCTTCTTTTCAGGTAATGGTGAAAAAAGTGAGTCCACAGCATCGCCAGCTTCTGGAGAACTCTCCTTATGACTACTGCCGGAAGGAGCTCATTCTCCTGTCTGCGCGGGGCTTCACCAACCTCTTCCAGGTGCTTGTTAAAGCCAAGAAGGTAAAATACCTCATCCCTACTCTCATTTTTCATCTCTTTTTGCTTTGCTATGCTGGATGTAGGGGGATGACAAAAGATAAAGTAGTAATTTTTATATTAAATGACTCAACTCATTCAGTATGATTATCCTGTTTAGTTGTCAGTAAAACTGAGACAAATTCACAGATTGCAGTCATCGTTAGAAAAAATGAGTGTTAAACATTACTACATCTTACTGATCAGGTCCCACTCCTACAGCATGCTCAGAATTATGGATCCAAACACTAGATTTCCCTGTGTTACTTTTCTATTACTCCTGCAAACCAAGTGCAGCCAGGGGAGAGGGAGCCAGAACCTGTTCTGCAATGTGTTTCTTCTGTCACTTGAGAAAATGCAGGAGTCTGCAACGTTAAAAATCCTTGTGTTACATGGCATGAGTCACCATCCAAGAAAGCTGAGTGGATTCTTGCCTTTTGGGCAAGTTGTACTTTTCAGCATGTGACAGACCAGTTTATTGGACCATGTGGACCATTGGTCTGATTACGTGTGGAAATTCTTATGTTCTGTATGCAGATTATTGAATGAATTTCAGCTTCAGAAGACTACGGGTGATGTGCAGGCAGAGGCTGTCCCTGCCCTTGTGGGTGAGCCTATAAATCTGATCACTGGAAGATTTTACCAGTGTTCAGCTGAACTGAGAATCCACCTAGCTCCTTAGGTCCACTGAAAATAGAATGCTGCTGAAAAAATACCTTCCTCAGAGAGTCCACAAGTCTGAATTCCTCTGAGCCTTGCAGTCTGAATGACTTTTGGGTGAGCGTGTGTGGATGCTGTCCACCGGAGGAGCGGATTGCAGCTGTTGAGCCTGCCTGAAGTTGATTATCTCTGAGCTCTCTTCAAAAGCATGCTCCAATGGGCTGTTATGTTTATATTCTTCCCATAGCCCCTGGTGGGACACAACATGCTTATGGACCTTATGCATCTTCACGACAAGTTCTACAAGCCCCTTCCAGGTAATGCTGTACATAGCTGCTGTCCCCTGGCTGCTGCCTTTGCAATGGGGATGGGACAGTAAGCACAGCGGTCACTTGCCACTCCAGCCACCCGCGGTCCTTAGCAGGTAGCAGTGCTAGTTGCCTCTTCGGAGCTCCAACTGCTGGAGTGGTGCATCATTCCTCTGACTTCACCTCTCATTCATTTGTAATACCTTTGGGTTTTCCTCAGTTTTATGATTTTTGCTTTCAGAAAGCTACGAGGAGTTTAAAAGGAACATTCACAACCTGTTTCCTGTCCTCATAGACACCAAGACTGTTACGAAATCTATCTGGAAGGTGAGATGCAAAGGTCTTTTTGTTCGAAGTTAAAGCTTGTCTTTCACCCAAAAGAGAGGATATCTTTCCTCCATGCCCTATGGCTACAGAACTGTGATGAGTTCTCAGTGTTGCCCGAAGACATTCTGATTTTAAGATCTCATTTAATGAATTGGCAGTACCAGTAAATGAGCTGTGAGGTCTGTCTTGGTTGGTTTTCTAACACGTTCTTCTTTTATAGAAATGTCCATTTCCGCGAGTATCTCAACTTTTGGAGGTGTATGCAGCTTTGTGCAGGTATGTGGTGGGCTGTAAAGCCTTCAGCAATCCCTTTTTTTTCCTTGGGAAAGATATTTCAAAGTCAGTCATTTCATATGTTCATATTCTTCCTCCCAAATGTTTTTCAGCTGGTTTATTGTCTTTCTAAATTTAAGAGCAAAGATTTGCTTATCTTTCTTATGAAGTAATTGTGGAATAAATCACTTGTTCTAAGACACTTCTTGTATTGTACCACCATTAATTCATTAGTCACAAGTTTGGCTTGCAGACAGCCTTATGTACCACTTTATGTTGCTTATGTCATGTTATGAAATGAGTGAGTTTCAGTTCTCAGTGAAAATACACCCTAATTTAAATGCCAGCTCCCAAGAAAGGGCTGCACTGAGCCCAAAGCAATAACTAAATACAATGTTCAAATGGAGCACATGAGTAGATATTGTAACTCATGAGTTTAGCCATGATGTGGTGGAAGAGTTCTCTTTTTTTACATTTCTTTTGTGGATAAATTGTGTCTTCAGCAGCAGCCTAAATCCCAAAGACCCAACGTGCCCAGTGATAGCTCTTGCAAATGGCTGCTCAAGATACGGTATGTTCTTAAGCAAGTCTTCAAAGTCAGGTAATTAAAAAGGGGTTTGTTTTACTCTGTGGATGTCCACATGCAAAGCGTGAGTGTGTGCCAGTGGGTCTGCTGAATTTGCACAGAGCTGCCAATACATGTTTTTGTCCAGACCCAAAGCCTGGGCTCCCAAAACATCATGTGTTCTGCGTGTCCCTGGAAGCTGCCAAGGGAAACGCAGGGCAGGTTTGCATCATGCTGCTAGCACAAATGGCATTTACACGAAGTGGGGCTGAACTGAACCCAACTTGGGGCTGTGAAGAGTTGGAAGCCCTTGGAAAGGGCCAGGGGTGGTGGGAAACAGCAGTCCTAGAATGGAAAGTAGCGGGAGTTAAAGGCAGGGAGGTCCCGGGAGGCAGCAGGAGCTTGGTGCCTCATGTGCAGGGTTAGTGGTGCTGCGTGTTCAGGAGGTTGTGTGCAGTACGTGGTGTGATATTTATTGGCTGCAAGGCAGACGTTTCCTGGCTTCTGGCAGCATGGTATCCTGCAGCGCGCGGCCTCCTGTGTTTTGAAATGGTTCCCACACCATCAATAACATATACAATACAGTTTGGTTTAGATCTTTATAACAGTGAACATTTTTTAATGTGCATCTCGCTCAGCTTTTCAGACATTCACGTAACTGTTGCCTTTTTGTTGGTATCATTCTAAAATGCATGGTAGAAGCATAGACTTTCTACAGGGTGTAAAGGTTTCAGAGTGAGGAAGGAAACAGAGTTGAGGATGGGGGGGCAAAATACTCCAGAACAGTGGATCTTGCAGACATTAGGATTCTGCAGTGGAGCAGTTTCCACAGCGTGCTAAAGGTGTTTACTCCTTTTTGCTTTTGTCGAACGCTTACAGCTGAGAAGAAATCTCCTCACGAGGCAGGCTATGATGCATTTCTCTGTGGTTCAGGTAAAATGCTTCTTAAGTGCTTCTTCAGAGTTCGTGTTGAGGCTTGGCAATTCCTTTCCTGCTCTGTAGCTCTATTTGATGCTAAGAAATATTTGTTTATATACAGTCTGTTGCTCTTAGTAACTTAGCTGTACTTTAGTGAGTTTTTGCTTTCCATTTGATTAGTTATGTTTCTTTAGCTTTGTTCTAATGCCACCTCATTATTCCTCCTTCTAGTTCTTCTGAAGTCAGCTCATTTGCTACTGTGCAGATCCACAGAGTAAGTGAAGTTTAAATGTTTACTGAAAATTGCATTACATGGATGGGTCCTATGGAAAACAGTCGTCAGTTTGCTCTGGCTGACTTTTTGTTTTGCAGGCTGGCCTTCCTTTTGGATGAGAGAAAGTGTTATTGGAAATGTCACTGTTCTAATTAGATTATTATTTTATAAATCTGAAAGTAGTAGCTTTATGTCAAAGCTGACATTTAAAAAATGAAATCAGGGGCCATGCGATGGCTCAGGGGTTGGGAAATGGCATTGTAACTCCTTTATCCTTGAACAAGCTCTTTCAAGTTCAGTTCACTTGGGTAAGGGTCAAATGATTTTCCATTAGTTTCCATTTTTGAAATCTGTGTGATTCAGTGCCTTCAGTTAAGTTCCTAAGAGGCAACTGTTCAAATCCCTTCCCTTTGCTTGCGGCTTTTTGACTTCTGTAGAAGATGCCAAGATCTGAAATACCTATTTTGTCACTAGTTAAAGAGCTTCTTCAGGAGCTCTGTGCTCTGGAGATGCAGTGCAGCGCTGGAGAAACAAAACTTTCTACCATTTTTGTTTTCTGATGTAGTGGTGCAGTGGAGGCTGATCCTTCTTTCTCTCAGTATCTCGCCGTGTTAGCCGAGTATCTGAACAAAGTGAATTTCATCCGAGGTGGTGTTTCAAGCATTGTGCGTATGAATTGCAGGTCTGTGAGCAGTCTGTGGGGTGCGTGGGTCAGTAGCCTAGTTGATGGCTTCATTAGAAGAGAAAAATCCACCAGTGCCTGGGCCCACCTTGGCAGAAGTTGTGGTCATACGAATGACAGAACTGACCTTTCAAAACGGCAAATGAGTTTAATTTCTGCTTTGTGAAATGTATTCATATTGTTATCCTGTAAGATGGCATTAGTCAGTTTATGTTGTTGTTTCTCTGGTCGTTTCTCCATGGTAATCGTGACAGTTTGCTTTTATGACTCAAGTTTAGAAGAATCTTGGGACAAAAGAAAAATAATTTTACACCAACAGTTTTGTTGTACAACCTGTCTTACTTATGTGTCACATTTTGCATATTTTCTGATTATATTAGTACTGCTTCTGTAGTATTTTCAAACTCAGATATGTCTCAGTTGTGTACATTTTCCAGAATTTTTCTGGGGAAGATGTTCCCTGCCAACATCCCCCTGTCTTGGTTGTCCATGTCCGAGGCTGGCCAGGGCTGAATGAAAAGCAGATTTACCAAGAGTTTAAAACTCTTTGTCGCTTTGATGTCAGACGGCTTTCAAAGAACCAGTTTATTCTGCTCTCCAATAAATTTAAGCAGTAAGTGACCAGAAAGTCTTAATTTTTAGTTCCTTGATCCTCTCTGATCCAAGCCTTCGTCCCACCCTCCCTCTGCTGTGACAGCTCTTGGATAAAGAGGTGCCTGTCCTGAGCTGTGGGACGCTGCGAGCAGCCAGCAAGCCATGGCTCATGACACCTCCTTTCATTCCAGCGTCAGGCTTGTTCTGCGAGACTATAAGCATCACCCTCATCTGCAGGTTTCCGTCTATCGCAGGTGGAGGCACTCCCCACACGTGAACTGCCTGCTGCAGTGAGTCACAGGAATCACGGAGGGGGGAGATGGGGGGAAAAAGCATTCCTTTCAGGGTGCCTGGCCCCGTCACAGCCGCAGCCTGCTGCGCTTTTGCAGTGTTCTGCCAGCCCTTCAGGAGAACAAGGGGTTCAGAAGCAGGTTTGCTTGCCAATGGCTCGGTGGCTACTTGGGAGCTTTTAGCCCTGGGAATCTGGACTTTAATCTTTATCCTCATTAACTGGGGAATGTTACCCCATGGATACCACGAAACTATGTATATGGTATCATAACAGACAGAGGGTTATCTTAATGAGCTGTAGTGCTAGCTCTAACAAGCTTGAGGGGAGCGAGGCAGAGTCTCCCAGGTGTGGGATGGATGTGGTTTTTTGACAGCAGAGTCAAAAGCTCGGTACTAGGAGAGAATCCCATGTTCAAAACACACCCCTGTTGTGAGGCGCTGACAGCAGTGCTCACGAAGGGTGAAATTTCTGGCCTGACACGGTTTGGAAAAGGATCTCGGTGCTTAATAAGAACAAAATGAAGCCCTAAATACAAGCAACCTAACAGCATTCTATTGTTTGCCCTTCAGGGTCTCTGGTGTTGTGGCACTGTGGTCTCTCTTGGCCTTTGTACTCGGAGGAGCTCCTTGCTGTTCAGTCTGAAGGACTGCCTGCCAGATGAGACGTGAGGAACGCAGATCTCATCTTGTGTGTTTGCCTAGGTTTTGTTTTATTTCATTCAATAAACTATGAGCAGCAAAACAAAAAAGCTATGAATAGTGTTTTTAATTGCTTTCTTGGAAATGGGTTTTTTAAAGAGGATGTGTTGATTTCCAGTTTGTGTTATTTTGCAATCCGTTCAAAGCACAGTCCCCTCCTGAAGAGGGAGAGATGGTTCTCTCGGTGCCTAACTTACTTTGATCCTCTGTTAGTTTGTCACAGCTATTCGTAACCCCAGTTTGTTCCCGGTGCTTGTGCTGCTGTGTAAAACACATTTCTGATGAAGTTTGGGAAGCTATGAAATGAAAGAGGCTATTTTTAGCTTCACTTGTAAAGCAGGGGAAATGTCACTGTTGACCAAATGAAAATGGGAAGAGTTTATGGAGAAACCACTCTTGGGGCTCACGAAGGATTCTGGGGAATAGTAAATAATTTGCAGTGCTGTCAGTGTTGTGCAGGGGTATTTTCAATGGCAGTGGAGCCGAGGATAGACACAGATAAGTGGAATTTATCAACTTCCAATTTGTAGAATATACACAGGTCAGGTGAGTTGGCACGCATTTCTGTTTGCTTGTGGTGCACAGCGTGTGAGCAGTCCTTCTCTCAAAAACACCGTCAGACATGCTTTGTGGATCGGTTTCTCTGATGCAGCTGGAGTATTTGTCAGTCCAGGGACTGCGGTCTTCAGCAATTTTTCTTATTCATTTCCTTCTCTTCTTAAAGACAACCTGCTGATCCATGCTTTCCAAGTAAAGGTCCCCAGATTTCATCAGTCAGACCGAATTGGACGGGGCCCGTGATCACCTAATAGGTAGAATCTGCCTTTAATCGCCTGTAAAATGGGAGCTGGTGCAGGGGCCCTGCGCGCAGCAGCAGATCACCCCGGTCGGCCTGAACAGCACGTGCTCTCTGCCGCCAACGGTTTGCTGCCCTTCAGGAGGAAAGGGCAGTCTGTCTGCAGACGTCGTTCTCCACTTCTGCACAGCTTGTGGTTTACAGCTCTTATTTCGTAAGCCAGCTCCTAGCCAGACCAGTAACTGACTTCTTGATGACTTTTTTTTTGGGGTAACCCCTTTAGTGACGGGGTTCTCCATCGCAGTGTTCCTTCAGATACCAGTGTAAGTATCTCCTTCTTTATTCTGTAATTTTTTTTTCTTTTAGCATCATTAGACACCCCCCTTGTGTTGAGGAGAGCACAGGCTCTGTGTATTGTGTAGACTTGGGAAAATTTTCACTGGATGTTACACGCAGTAGTGTGCCTTTTGCCATAAAAACACTGCTGTTACCTTTGAGAAGCACAGCAGTTCTTAAGGGAGCCAGCACTTTGAAGGAACAAAGAAATTGTTTGTTCTATCTTTAAATTTTGATCCCTTCCTCCTGTTTTCTTCTCCGAGTGGCACACAGACAAGTAATGAATTGGTTCCCTGCAGCACTGTTCTCTCTCTTGGTTTGCCCTCTAGAGAAATGCGCTTCCCCATGGAAGGACGCAGAGATCCTCTTGCCCTTTTTTGAGAATCAGCCCGTGGGTCTGAGCATGCCTTCTCCCTTTCCAAGGGACAGACGTACCAACATCACGTAGTGAATCAGGAGACTGGGCTTTCCTGCCTTACAGCTGGGAGAACTTATAAATAACAATTGCGGTAGATCTACTTGATATTCCTACTATAAATCAGTTAAGTTTACATGCAGAGTAAATACATGAAGAAGAAAAGAGAGTGGGTTGAGTATGTCCTGATCTCCCTCCTAGGGGAGAATTTACAGACAGGAGTTGCCTGTCTGTGATAACCCAGGGTCATCGGCTGCTCAGAGCCTTCTGAAGAGATCAATGGGCTGTACGAGCAGTCAGTTCCCACGAAAGGGGTTAGCTGGGGGCTAGTCTAACGACTCCGAGCAGCAACTTTTAGCTGTGGGAACAGAGTTACAAGCTTTCCTGAGCAGCTGTAGAACAAGACAAGATCTCCCTTAACATGCCAGTCTGGCCATTCCAACCTCAGCTGTTGCTTTTGCTCCAGACTAGGGAATTGTTACTAATTGCAGTTGGAATTATCAAAAGTAGTTCAGGTTATGCCTGTTCCTGTGTGTCTTCTGCAAGGAGTTGGGTGGTGCTTTTGATCCTCGTGAAGCCGACTGAAGGCGGTGCAGCCTCCTAACTCTGGGGCTGAAGAGGTGAACGTCAAAGTTGCTGAGTTGGCTCTGAGGGCTGGCAGCTCGGAAAATCAAACCCGTCTCCCTAAGTCAGCGATAAAACCACAGCAAAGTCCCCAGCAGCAGTTGGAGCACACCTGCATCTCAGCGCTGTGAGAAACTTGCACTTCGGCTCTAAGGCTTGAAAGGGTAATTCCAGCCCTCAATGAAACGAGATGTTAGAAGTCAGGTTGTGAAGGTGCACTTTAAAAGTCTAGCCCTGGAAACAGAACATTGCAGATCAGCGTATGTCTGTTTCCCAGAACAATCTGATTTTTTGATACGTTGACTTTTTTTTTTTTTTTAACATGTTCAAGATCAAATACGTGTTTATTGAGATGGTATCTCTACTCTGGTTGGAAGCCTCTCAGGGCACCTCCTGTTCCTGAACACCCAGAGTGGAAATCTGGCAGTGAAGGAGTTCAGCATTGTCTCAAACTACAAGCAATACTGTCACACCAGACTGTTGTTGAGAAATTTTATTTTTATCATTATTTAAAAAAAAAAAAAACAAAACCAAAACCCCAAACAACACTGTTCAATTATACAAAAATGTCTATGGATCCATACATGGAAAAGGCAAAACTATCTCTAAATATTCCTTAAAACATCATTCTTACTGTTCGTGGCTTCACTGGTGATACACCAGATACACGCTGGCATTGGAGGAGAGCAGGATTTACTTCTCTTAGAAGTCAAGGTATTCTTTTTATATAGAAGAAAATTTCATATACTCCTGTTTTCTAATGGTGTGAATGAACGATTCTTCTTAATATTACGCATTCATTCAAAATACATCATAGCTGAAAGCTTTGGTGCCTCTTGGAAGGGCGAGGTGGCAGATGTCTTGCTGGATGAACCAAGTGAGACAGCCCGGCATCCCTCACCCCCTTGATGCGAGGTCGCCTAACGAGCCGGAACGGCTTTGGCTGTGTCACAGCACCGCAGCTGGGTCAGAGCTTCGTGTCCTGATGAGTGACTGAGGACATTTCCGTGTGCCAGGGAAAGCCCTGCTGTACCACCGCTCCCTTAACACGTTTTTGTGGTGGTCTCCATAGGCAGCAGCAGATCTAACTTTGGTTTTATCTCACTTTTTCCAACAGCCCCTCTCCGCTGGTTACTGTAGTCTCACCACTGTAGAACCCCCCGCAGACTAACTGAGGGAGCGGTGCATGAAATGCCATGGCCGTATTTCTTCCAACAACCCTTACGCTTAAGGGAAGGGGGTGATTATTATACCGAGTCAGACACCAGGGACCTGCAGAAGGGAAGGGTTGTGTCGGCCCCGTCCCCTCCGTAAGGCAGGTGCGTGTGTGTGGAGGAGATACAGACCAGCGGTGCTGGGGAAAGCACAAATCTCTCTCTCTTGGTTTGCCAGAGGAACCCAAAAGCAAGGGATTAGATCTGCGCTTTAAAAGAAAATGACAACAGCAAGTCTGTCGGCAAAGAACCTAATGCCAGTGCTGTAAGTTAGGCTTGCTTTTAAAATACCTATGAGATGGGAATCTGCGAGAGGTGATGGTTACGATGCAGGAGAAACACATGGTGTCCTGGCAGAAACACATCCAGTTAAAAAGAAAAAAGCGCTATTTAAAACATGAAAATGGGTTGTTCAGCACCACCCAGGCACACACAAATTGAGGAAATCCGAAAGCAGTTCTAAGTCTGGACCTGGTCCAACCCACTGACACCCCTGGAGTTCACCTGGATTTCTGAGTAGGGGAAGAGTAATCGGCAATCCTCATTCTGTATTTTGAAGTAATACAAACTATTTCATTTATCTCATAAATTTTGGCCCTAGTGATCAGACAGAGCTGTGGCATGTTCTGAGCTTGCTCTAAAAGATGCTGCTAGAAATTTCTGCTTTGCCTTCAGCTTTTGGTTACCAAAGGTCACGCTGTCTATAATATCTTTGTTTAACAAGCTGCTTGCTTACAAGCGCAGCCAGCATAACCAAAACAGGCAGTCGTTCATTCACCCACCGGAATTCATCTGTCCTGTGCATCAAACACGTAAAACGGACTTTGCCATTCCTACATAAATACGAGGATTTGCAAACCCACAGGCTCCCACAGCTGCCTGCAGTGCTCAAAACTTGCCCCCTCCCCTGGGATGCTGGCCTGAAGCAGTTTGATGTAATTGTTCCTTAGGGCCGCTGGGTCATGGGAACCGATGCCACAGGAGACGTGTCGGGCTCCTGGGCCTCCCCTGTGGTCCTGCCGCCTCCAGCAGCTGGGCAGCCTCCAGGGGATGGGCTGGGGCTGGCTGCTCAGCGAGGGGTGTCCGGGGGCTGGCTGCAGCCAGAGGCATCCCTGAGGAGGGAGGGGATGCTCTTGCCCCACAGCTTGCATTGATGAATATCCTACACGTACCACAACTTAGCACAAGAGAAGAGCATGGTGATGGGGGACAGAAACACAACCGGAATTCTTCCTAATCCCATAGGCACCTGTTGCCATCTTTAGACCCTCAAATACTTGCATGGTCTGGCTGGCACCCCCAATTCCACACGTGCTCCCTACTGAAAAGTTTATAGTTTTTTAGAGCACGCAAAGTCATTGTTCAAAATCATTTGTGTCCCTCTGTGTTAAAATAGCAATTAGCGCATCGTGTTAATACATAAATATAGACAAGCACATATATGTAACTCACGGCATCATTTCATCTTGCGCCTTTTGCTATCAAGTGCAGTTTGCTTATATTTACGTAGGCTTGGGAAAAAAGAACCAAGTAAAAGTACCAAGCACAAAGTACCAAGC